CTGAGCTGCTCGCAGGACTGCAGAGCCCTCCCTGACTTAGGCAGGACACTAGACCGGGGAAGGACAAACCCACATGTGCTGTTCAGTCATGTCTGCCTGTAATGGTCCTGCCTGGCCAGTGCTCTGCTCCAGTGCTGCAGCAGAAGTAGGGCAGCTGGATACTGGCAGTGTAACTGCAGGCCTTTCTGCACCCCGACAGAGGGGCTGAAGGTGCTGCCTCCAGGGAACACTCAGTCCTGCCATACCAATGCCTCCTTTAGGCCCCAGGGAGCTGTTTTATCTGTACTGGAGGAGGAGCAAAGCTCAGGTCCTAGGACAATTCACATGTCTTCTAAACTCATGCAGAATAAAGAGCATGCATGAGCTCACTTTATGAGAACAGCAATCTGAAACGCCCTGGGAGAACCCATCCTTCCTGTTGACCACTGTATGCTCAAAGCAGTGCTGTAGCTGGCTCAGCCCCTCATCTTCTGGAGAGATGGCGGAGGGGGGGGGGGGGGGGGGGTGTGGTCAGACCATGGAGGCCTCCCAGAGGGGGCTCCAGGTGAGTACAATCTCTGTGCCACTTTCTGGTGTCAGCCCTGTCTCCTCTTGGACCTGAAGTGCTGCCTCCTTACGTCCTCTCTTGTCCTTCTCCTGCTTCCCCAACATGCTCTTCCCAGTCCCATGGAGATACTGGTCTCTTCCCAGGCATGTTGGCCGTCGTCGGACTCTTGGGGACTTGTACACCAATGGATGGGGTCAAGGTGGACGTCTTGTTCGGCTGCCTGTGTTTTGTGTGCTTGGAGCCTTGTCGGCATGTTTGTTTGCTTTGCATGTGATGAATCCTGCTTGTGTCAGTCCTCAATACGTGCCATGCATGCTCCTTAGCCTTCCATTAGGCCCACTCATGTCCACCTCTCTTTCCTCTGTCAGCTGTTCCTTCTCACTTCTTGAGGCTTGTTTGGGTACAGAGGCTGGAGTTTCTGTTTTCCCTCAACACGTGTATGCAGACTTCTTGCAACTACTGCCTTAGTTCCTGTAAAAGTAACTCCTCTGAGCCATGGCCCTGGGGTTGGTGTCTCAGAAGGGGTCAGGAGGAGAAGAGCCAGGTTAGTTTTGCTGGATGTGACAGGAGATTTTCTGTTTTGACTCATTTGCATGAAAGGAGTGGGAAATCAAGCCCTTCAAGGGCTGTACTCCTCCAAGAAGACAAATCCAGGAAACCTGCACAGTGGGGAAATATGAATGTCCAGAGGTGTGGGGTTTGGAGGTAGACTTTTCCCAAAATGGCCTTCACCCTACTGTGGCACTGCTTAAGCACAGGCAGTTGCTTTCCTGGGTTTCTTCCAGAGAGGGCAGGACAAGGTGAGGGAGAGGGGTGGACAGTTGGACTTGTTTGTCTGATGTGTCCGTATGGCTATCAGGATGTTTCTCTTTCCTCATTAAGGGAGGAGCATCCATGTCCCATCACTTGGTCTGGTGAACAGGACATCAGACTCTTCTCCAGGCTCACCTCACGACTTTGACCAATGTCTTGGGGGGCCCAGCTGTTGCACAGGGAAGTAGACCTGCTGTTGTAGAGCAGTTTGAGAGCTGTGCGTGAGAGCAGGTCTGTATGTGTGGGGTTGCTCCCTGATGCCTGAGGGATTTCTTTCCTGTATAGAGGACAGTTCTTCTTTAAAGGCTGTGAGAAAGAAATCTGAACTGAAATGGATGCATGGAAGGGCTTCTGTGAAGAGCAGGTGAAAGGAGAGCTGTCATATAAATGATAGTCTTTATTCCTAAGGGAGGGGAGGAACTGTTTTAACTGACTTCTCCTTGGGCCAGACTAGCTCACCAAAGCTTACATTTCAAAATGTAGCTGGGTTTGGTTTGAAATACATTTCACTGGCATTTCTTTTGTGAATCGTTATGTATCTCTGTGTGTTTGCAGCTGTATTACAACAGGAAATATCATTATATAAAGCATTTAACCATTGTTCAACTGAGTCCAGGTTTCCATAAAACAGTATCTCCATGAAACTGCACTTTCTTTCCAACAGAGGAGAAGTACACCGTTATTTACCCGTATACTGCAAGAGACCAGGATGAAATGAACCTGGACAAAGGGGCTGTGGTGGAGGTGATTCAGAAGAACCTGGAGGGCTGGTGGAAAATCAGGTACTGTTCCTGCTTCTTCCTCTTCCCTGGCACTGCAGCAGGGGCTCTGCAAAGCAGAGACTCAATGCACGTGGGATGTACAGTCCAAAGGCAAGTCTAGGGTATTGGGAAGGGCAGGCTATCAGAACTCATTTCTCTCCATCCCTACAAACTAAGGCTAGCTGACGTTCAGGGCTTCAGCCAAGCATAGCTGTGGTTAAATGTCTTTAAAATCCCCCGATTTCCTGTGCAGGGAGGCGGACTGCGTCACGGCATCACATGCCCCAGCAGTGCAAAGGGAACCGGTGTTGAGAGCATTAATTTTACGTCATGTGCTGCTGATAGGAAAACCAGTGAGTGTTCTGGAGGCAGGTTGGATCCTCTGGCTGTGTTATCCTGTGGAGAAAAGCCATTGGCCAGGCTAGGTCTGCTGTGTGCAGGGTGTGCTGTGGCCAAAGACTCCAGATCGTCCTGAGCTGATACTTGTTTTCTCCTGGAAGCTCATTTTCTCTTGTCTGTGGTCTAGCAAACGGCTGGACTTGAGCAGGGTGGGAGCACGTGCTGCAGTTTTCTTAACCTTACATTGAACCTGTGGTCTTGGCAGTAACAAAGCCCCAGAAAAATGTCCATTGACTTTTTAAGCAGAGGAGAGCTGCCACAAGAGCTCTAAAGGCAATTACAAGCTCAGTAGCTGGTGCCATCTGAGCATAGTGGCTGCAGCCCAGCCAGCGGGGAGAGTCTTTGACACTGGCACAGGACCCTCCAGCATGGCAGGGAGACTCCACGGATGTGGTTTCTCAATCAGATTGCAGGGCTGGTTTCTCTCCTAAACAGTGCAGATTTACAGCAGGGAAGGGATCCAGGCTGCCGGCGCTCAGGCAGAGGGCTTGTGCTTTCTCCAAAGTCCAGGTAATCGAGCCTAGCAGCAGCCCTCTGGTTTTCCCCTCTGCTTCCCCTGCCAGTGTGCTTCATTCCTGAACGGGTGCCACTGCTGAGGTGAAAAGGAATTTGGGCTTCATACCATTCCCAGCCCTCAGCCCACTGGCTGCGGCCGGCTTGCACGGGAGTGTTAGTCATGGCTGGAGCTCTCCAGGTGCCCACGTGCCATGGAGCATGGCACCTGGCAAGCTCGTTTTGCCCAGATCATGCAGTACCTTGGGTCAGCTCTGGGTACGGGGATGTCCGATGGCTGAACACCACTCGAGTGCAGTGGATCCCTCCTGCGGGGAGGGCTCGTGGCCCCGATACAGCGCAGGAGCTCTGCACAGTGACATTGCCGTTGTTGCCACTGCAGGTACCAGGGCCAAGAAGGCTGGGCACCCGCCTCCTACCTCAAAAAGGGGAATGGAGAGATGTTCTCACAGAAGTTGGGGTCAGGCTCCTCTACTCATTCGTGTGCCTTGGATCTGGATGGCATCTCCCGACAGCAGGTCATGGCGAGCCGAGAGAAGGATGCGCTCGCTGGCCAAAGGGATGGGAGATTTGACAGCCGTCCCCTGCCCAATGCTGACATCCGACGCAGTAAGTGACCAGTTGGGAGGAGGCTGGTGGTGGCTGGGGTGTCAGTGCAGCCTTTCCTTCAGGCTTTTGGGCAATGTAACAGGGTGTGAGGGAGGCAGAAGGCTTTGCAGGCACTGTGAGCTCTGCAGCAAGGTCTGGAGGTGACGTTGCACAGGCAGATGGGGGATGAGCACAGTGCTGCCCAGGGACCTGCTGAGGATCAGCAAATGTGATTTGGATAAAGGCCTCCCCACCCCAGACTGCAGATGTTCTCCTCTCAGAAGCTGGGGCATTTTAACCCCTCCGCAGGCCAGGTCTTCTGGGTCAGGCCTGCAATGTACAAGCAGTTTCATGTGGTGACCTCAGCTGCATTTCCTAGCAGCACCTGATGGTGCAAAGCTGGTTCTTCTTCCAGTGGGATGCCCTCAAAACCAGGGTGACCCATGCCACTCTGGGTACCAGGCAGACAAGTTCCTCCTTTGGCGTCCTTGCCCATGGGGCAGGCTTGGTCCTTGCCTTTCTGTTTTCTCTTTCGCTTGTCTTTTATGAACACATGTGTGACCAAAAGCCAGAAACTCAACAGCATCTGAAATTCTTCCTCCACAGAGTCACCAAAGATGAGGCAGAGACCCCCTCCTCGCCGAGATCTCACCATAGTAAGTGCCAGCTGATGTAGGAGAGCAGCAATGGCAAAGGGAGTTGGAGAGGAGCACTGAAAGAGCTCTTGGTCAAGGCTGGAGTACGCATGCTGCCTCCCTGCTGTCTTAAGACTCTTCTCTTTGCATGTGGTCTTTAAATGAACTTTTGACCAATCTGTCCCACAGGCCTGGGTTGCCAGTGGGAGGCTGCAGACTGGCTCCCTCCCTCTGGGGAGGGTGACTGCCGTCAGCGAGAACTCTGGCACTGAGCAATTTTCTGCTCAGCCTGGTAATGGTTTATGTTGGTGAGGGTGCTGTATGGGCACAGCCGAACTCCCTGGCCTGGCCATGCTGCAGGCTGGTGGACTGTGTGGATGTTGCGGCACACCTGCTGTAGAAACATGCTGATGGGTTTTCTTTTTTCTTGTCATAGCCACGTGGTTTGAACCTGCCTAAACCTCCTGTCCCTCCTCAAGTGGAAGAGGAATATTACACCATTGCTGACTTCCAGACCACCATCCCTGATGGCATCAGCTTCCAGGCAGGAATGAAAGTAGAGGTGAGGCTGTCATCTTCCCTTCCCACGTCTTCGCATCAGTGCAGTGCTTCAGACTCCCATTGCCCTGGGACCTTTTTCAGGCAGGGCAGATGTGCTCACCACGGCGTTCTGGGTGGAAACCGGGCTTGTTCAGCCTGGAAAAGAGAAGGCTCTGGGGAGACCTTTTAGTGTCCTTCCAGTGCTTGAAGGGGGCCTACAAGAAGGCTGGGGGCCTGCAGTGACAGGACAAGGGGTAATGGTTGGAAGCTGGGAGAGGGCAGGTTTAGACTAGATACAAGGAAGAAGTTCTTCACCCTGAGGGTGGTGAGACACTGGAGCAGGTTGCCTAAGGAAGTTGTGGATGCTCCATCCCTGGAAGTGTTCAAGAGCAAGTTGGATAGAGCCTTAAGCAACGTGATCTAGTGGGAGGTGTCCCTGCTATGGCAGGGGGGTTGGAACTAGCTGATCTTTGACGTCCCTTCCAACCCAAACCGTTCTATGATTGTATGATGGGGCACGTGATTGCCTCTGTGGACTGTGGTGCTCTTGGTGGCCTCCTGTCCCTCAACTGTGTGGGTGCTGTGTTGTCTGAGCGAATGGAAATTAAAACCACACCACAAATGGTGGGGTTTTTTTCTTAGTTAGGCCAGGTGTAAAGTTAAAAGCCCTTCCAGAATTGCTTTCCTGGAACACCCGCTTTTGCTGACACAATCCCTCTTGCAGATGTGACTCTGCTTTTCAAAGTGTAAGCTGTCCTTCCCGCCGAGGCTGTTTCCTTT